CACATGCACTCACATGCATTCACATGCACTCACATGCATTCACATGCACTGACATGCATTCACATGCACTCACATGCATTCACATGCACTCACATGCATTCACATGCACTCACATGCATTCACATGCATTCACATGCACTCACATGCACTCACATGCACTCACATGCATTCACATGCACTCACATGCATTCACATGCACTCACATGCATTCACATGCACTCACATGCACTTACATGCATTCACATGCACTCACATGCATTCACATGCACTCACATGCATTCACATGCATTCACATGCACTCACATGCACTCACATGCACTCACATGCATTCACATGCACTCACATGCATTCACATGCACTCACATGCATTCACATGCACTCACATGCACTTACATGCATTCACATGCACTCACATGCATTCACATGCACTCACATGCATTCACATGCACTCACATGCATTCACATGCACTCACATGCACTCACATGCACTCACATGCATTCACATGCATTCACATGCACTCACATGCATTCACATGCACTCACATGCATTCACATGCACTCACATGCATTCACATGCACTCACATGCATTCACATGCACTCACATGCATTCACATGCACTCACATGCACTCACATGCACTCACATGCGCTCTCATGCACTCACATGCGCTCACATGCACTCACATGCACTCACATGCACTCACATGCACTCACATGCACTCACATGCACTCACATGCATTCACATGCACTCACATGCACTCACATGCATTCACATGCACTCACATGCATTCACATGCATTCACATGCACTCACATGCACTCACATGCATTCACATGCACTCACATGCACTCACATGCATTCACATGCACTCACATGCATTCACATGCATTCACATGCACTCACATGCACTCACATGCATTCACATGCACTCACATGCATTCACATGCACTCACATGCATTCACATGCACTCACATGCACTCACATGCACTCACATGCATTCACATGCATTCACATGCACTCACATGCATTCACATGCACTCACATGCATTCACATGCACTCACATGCATTCACATGCACTCACATGCATTCACATGCACTCACATGCATTCACATGCACTCACATGCATTCACATGCACTCACATGCACTCACATGCACTCACATGCACTCACATGCACTCACATGCACTCACATGCACTCACATGCACTCACATGCACTCACATGCACTCACATGCACTCACATGCACTCACATGCACTCACATGCACTCACATGCACTCACATGCACTCACATGCACTCACATGCACTCACATGCACTCACATGCCTTCACATGCACTCACATGCACTCACATGCACTCACATGCACTCACATGCACTCACATGCACTCACATGCACTCACATGCACTCACATGCACTCACATGCACTCACATGCACTCACATGCACTCACATGCACTCACATGCATTCACATGCACTCACATGCACTCACATGCACTCACATGCACTCACATGCACTCACATGCACTCACATGCACTCACATGCACTCACATGCACTCACATGCACTCACATGCATTCACATGCACTCACATGCACTCACATGCACTCACATGCACTCACATGCACTCACATGCACTCACATGCACTCACATGCACTCACATGCATTCACATGCACTCACATGCACTCACATGCACTCACATGCACTCACATGCACTCACATGCACTCACATGCACTCACATGCACTCACATGCACTCACATGCACTCACATGCACTCACATGCACTCACATGCACTCACATGCACTCACATGCACTCACATGCACTCACATGCACTCACATGCACTCACATGCATTCACATGCATTCACATGCACTCACATGCATTCACATGCACTCACATGCATTCACATGCACTCACATGCATTCACATGCACTCACATGCATTCACATGCACTCACATGCATTCACATGCACTCACATGCACTCACATACATTCACATGCACTCACATGCATTCACATGCACTCACATGCATTCACATGCATTCACATGCACTCACATGCACTCACATGCACTCACATGCATTCACATGCACTCACATGCATTCACATGCACTCACATGCATTCACATGCACTCACATGCACTCACATGCATTCACATGCACTCACATGCATTCACATGCACTCACATGCATTCACATGCACTCACATGCATTCACATGCACTCACATGCATTCACATGCACTCACATGCATTCACATGCACTCACATGCATTCACATGCACTCACATGCACTCACATGCACTCACATGCATTCACATGCACTCACATGCATTCACATGCACTCACATGCACTCACATGCATTCACATGCACTCACATGCATTCACATGCACTCACATGCATTCACATGCACTCACATGCATTCACATGCACTCACATGCATTCACATGCACTCACATGCATTCACATGCACTCACATGCATTCACATGCACTCACATGCATTCACATGCATTCACATGCACTCACATGCACTCACATGCACTCACATGCATTCACATGCACTCACATGCATTCACATGCACTCACATGCACTCACATGCATTCACATGCACTCACATGCATTCACATGCACTCACATGCATTCACATGCACTCACATGCATTCACATGCACTCACATGCATTCACATGCACTCACATGCATTCACATGCACTCACATGCATTCACATGCACTCACATGCACTCATATGCACTCACATGCATTCACATGCACTCACATGCATTCACATGCATTCACATGCACTCACATGCATTCACATGCACTCACATGCGCTCTCATGCACTCACATGCGCTCTCATGCACTCACATGCGCTCTCATGCACTCACATGCGCTCTCATGCACTCACATGCGCTCTCATGCACTCACATGCGCTCTCATGCACTCACATGCGCTCTCATGCACTCACATGCGCTCTCATGCACTCACATGCGCTCTCATGCACTCACATGCGCTCTCATGCACTCACATGCGCTCTCATGCACTCACATGCGCTCTCATGCACTCACATGCGCTCTCATGCACTCACATGCGCTCTCATGCACTCACATGCGCTCTCATGCACTCACATGCGCTCTCATGCACTCACATGCGCTCTCATGCACTCACATGCGCTCTCATGCACTCACATGCGCTCTCATGCACTCACATGCGCTCTCATGCACTCACATGCGCTCTCATGCACTCACATGCGCTCTCATGCACTCACATGCGCTCTCATGCACTCACATGCGCTCTCATGCACTCACATGCGCTCTCATGCACTCACATGCGCTCTCATGCACTCACATGCGCTCTCATGCACTCACATGCGCTCTCATGCACTCACATGCGCTCTCATGCACTCACATGCGCTCTCATGCACTCACATGCGCTCTCATGCACTCACATGCGCTCTCATGCACTCACATGCGCTCTCATGCACTCACATGCGCTCTCATGCACTCACATGCGCTCTCATGCACTCACATGCGCTCTCATGCACTCACATGCGCTCTCATGCACTCACATGCGCTCTCATGCACTCACATGCGCTCTCATGCACTCACATGCGCTCTCATGCACTCACATGCGCTCTCATGCACTCACATGCGCTCTCATGCACTCACATGCGCTCTCATGCACTCACATGCGCTCTCATGCACTCACATGCGCTCTCATGCACTCACATGCGCTCTCATGCACTCACATGCGCTCTCATGCACTCACATGCGCTCTCATGCACTCACATGCGCTCTCATGCACTCACATGCGCTCTCATGCACTCACATGCGCTCTCATGCACTCACATGCGCTCTCATGCGCTCTCATGCGCTCTCATGCGCTCTCATGCGCTCTCATGCACTCACATGCGCTCTCATGCACCCACATGCGCTCTCATGCACTCACATGCGCACTCATGCGCTCACATGCGCTCTCATGCGCTCTCATGCGCTCTCATGCGCTCACATGCGCACTCATGCACTCACATGCGCTCTCATGCACTCACATGCGCTCTCATGCACCCACATGCGCTCTCACGCACTCACATGCGCTCTCACGCACTCACATGCGCTCTCACGCACTCACATGCGCTCTCATGCACTCACATGCGCTCTCATGCACTCACATGCGCTCTCATGCACTCACATGCGCTCTCATGCACTCACATGCGCTCTCATGCACTCACATGCGCTCTCATGCACTCACATGCACTCACATGCACTCACATGCGTTCTCATGCACCCACATGCGCTCTCATGCACTCACATGCGCACTCATGCGCTCACATGCGCTCTCATGCGCTCTCATGCGCTCTCATGCGCTCACATGCGCTCTCATGCACTCACATGCGCTCTCATCCACGCTCTCATGCACCCACAAACAGTTATGGCACAGCACCTGTGGTGGAGAGGGTGGTCATCGCCCTGCGGAACCAGCAGCACATGGCGCGCAGATTAGAAGCACCGAACCAAATTCGCCGTACGAAGCAAGAGCGCGCATCCCATGTTGAGGGAATGATCGTCCCACGAGGACCAAGTTGATGGCGGAAGACCGGCACAGCACAGGCAATGAGAATGGTGTTGACGATGATGCGAGTGAGTGGGAGGGGTGGGAGGGGCGAAGGAGACACACGCGGAAAGGCACGTTCTGTGAGCAGGTGCATGCAGGCAGAAAAAGACACATGTCACATGATTGGTGTACTGTGCCAAGTGCTGTTTCCGATTGTAGCATTCCATGCAGACGAGAAGACATGGATCACATAAGCTAAACCGCGGCAACCATGTGATGCGAGGAGAAGAGAGAACCAAAGGGGCTATTGACACGTCGCTGGGTTGGGATGCACAGGAGGCGCAACGGGTGCCTTCCTTCATTGGGTCATTCCAGAAACCGGTCTGCTAGAATGTCAGGGCAGTAGGCGACTATGATGAGGTGGTTCGGTAGCGCACAGCGGGATCAATTACTGAGGTTGGGGTGAACCGGGGAACAGATAGCAGCGCACCAGTAGATGGATGTGACATAGGCGTCGAGTGGAGGGCGCAGAGGCAGGTCGGGCTCGCAGTGCCCCACCCACTGGGATGGGGGAATGAGCAGCGGGAGGTGGACGAGAACGACGTTTGGGAGGGGGACGAGGATGCAATTAAGAGGGTGGTGAAGCGAGGGGAAGGAGAGAAGAGGAAAGAGAGAGATGGGGCTTGTCAAAGGCGTCGTCAAAACCTCAGGAGTCACTTCACAAGAAAGACCAAACCCCTCCTCTGTCTGCCCTCGGTTTCTCATCCCTCCTCTGTGTCGGATTTCAACCGAGTCTTCACGAGTGCCGGAGTCACAATCACGCCACACAACATGCAGCACGCAGCTCACCGTGTCCTCGCTGAAGTTGCGCACGCGCGCGAGGAGGAAGAAGACACAGGCGGACCAGTGGGCGGCGAAGAGGATGAGGAGGGCGAACTTGTGCACACTGGTGGAGATGTAGTCGTACCGCACGTCCACTGCCATGTCCCACAGCACGTTCCAGCTGGGAAGGGGGGGAAGAGGGGAATGCGCCACACACACACACACGTGGGTACGGAGTGCAGTGAACCACAGATGTAGTCCTCATAGCGCACGTGCACCGCCACGTCCAACAGCACGTTCCACCTGGACGTTCCACCTGGCAGGCATGGACGCGGGGAAGCGATCGGGTTGAGCAGAGGGGCATTGAGAGAAAAAGTCAGAGCGCATAACCGCCATGGAGGAAGTTCTGCCTGCAAGGCAAGGCACGGAGAAGGCGGGAGTGATGCCAGAAAGTTAATCATGATGAAATGAATGGGGCGATGGATGGGGTTGAGTTGAGCAGAGGGGAGCGATGGGATGGGATGAGGTGCATCACAGAGGACGCCAAAGCGCACCGCGACCACAGCCAGCCCTCCCTGACAGGCAGGTGGCCCTCACATGAAGGTGGCCCTCACATGAAGGTGGCCCTCACATGAAGGTGGCCCTCACATGAAGGTGGCCCTCACATGAAGGTGGCCCTCACATGAAGGTGGCCCTCACATGAAGGTGGCCCTCACATGAAGGTGGCCCTCACATGAAGGTGGCCCTCACAGGCAGATGGCCCTCACAGGCGGCTCTCACTCACAGGCGGATGAGGCGCAGCAGTCGCAGCAGGCCAAAGGCGGAGAGGGCGACAGCAGCGGTGCCGGTGGGCTGATACACGCCCTTGAGCACCAGATCCCATGGCAGCGCTGCTAGCATGTCGTACCAGAACATGCCCCGTAGGTACCTGAGGGGGGAGAGGAAGAGAAGAGACATGAGAGGAGAAGGGGGGGAAAAGGGTAAGGAACAAAAAAGCGATAATTATAAGGACGACATATGGATGGTCACACTCAGCAGTGGGAGCATGTGCGTGTAACGTAAGTGGCACTTAAAACGAGGGTGTACATTTGTCCTTGCAACAGTGCTGACGTCAGCACTCGGTTCATTCAAAGTATTCTTTTTTGAACCCACGAGGACAAATGTGGACCCTCGTTTTAAGAAAATGAGAAAGAGTACACATGCTTACTCGACGGCAATGCTGGCGAGGCTGGTCTTCCACTCGCCCATTCGGAACTCGGGCACGAAGAAGCTGAGCAGCACGTCGCTCAGAAACACCTGCGGGGCAAGAAGGGGCGAGAAGGGGCAAGGGACGAGAAGGGGCAAGGGGCGAGAAGGGGCAAGGGGCGAGAAGGGGCAGGGGGCGAGAAGAGGCAAGGGGGACGAAGCGAAGGAGGACGAAAAGGGGGGAAGGAGGTCGAGGGGTGGTGAGGGGGGGGCGAAGAGGGACGAGGTGGGCTGAGAGGGGGCGCCGGGTGGCAAAAGGGGGTGAGGAAAACTGAGGCAGAGACACAGAGGAAAGCACATGAAATGAGAGTGTGTGGCATCAAAACAAAGAGCAGCACGTTGCTGAGGACCTCAAGGAGAGGATGGCGCGAGGAGGGGTTGGGGAGGGGGCGATGAGAGGCAGAGACACAGGGGGCGAGGCAATGAGCGTGATCAGGCAGAAAAAGAGGGAATGAGTGTGCATAAGAAGCGGAGAGGGGAAGTGCGTGGCTCAGGATAACTCTGCTGCCCCATGGCACCGCCCACCCCATCCCGCACTTAAACCCCGCATGGAGCACCTGCATTAAGCACTCACGGCGTCGGTGCAGTAGATAAAGACGTTGACTGGCGTGAACACATTCTCTGTGTCGAGGAACGCCACGTTGAAGGGCTCAACGATGCCGATGAGGATGGCGAGCAGCAGCAGCGCCGCCTGGAACTGCTGGTACAGCGATGCCTGTGGGTTGATCACCCAGTCCGACAGATACACCGAATCTGGCCCGCCCTCGCCCCCCTCGCCCTCCCCTGCCGCCTCGCTCGATGGCGGCACCTCTGAGATGGCCTGAAGGCAGGATGGGATGTGGTTGAGTGGGGTGGGATGGGATGGGATGGGATGGGATGGGATGGGATGGGAGGGGAGGGGAGGGGAGGGGATGGGGTGGGGTGGGGTGGGGTGGGGTGGGGTGGGGAGGGATGGGATGGGATGGGATGGGATGGGATGGGATGGGATGGGATGGGATGGGATGGGATGGGATGGGATGGGATGGGATGGGATGGGATGGGATGGGATGAAATGGGATGGGAGGGGAGGGGAGGGGAGGGGAGGGGATGGGATGGGATGGGATGGCATGGGATGGCATGGGATGGGATGGGATGGGATGGGATGGGAGGGGAGGGGAGGGGAGGGGAGGGGAGGGGAGGGGAGGGGAGGGGAGGGGATGGGATGGGATGGGATGGGATGGGATGGGATGGGATGGGATGGGATGGGATGGGATGGGATGGGATGGGATGGGATGGGATGGGATGGGATGGGATCGGATGGGATGGGATGGGATGGGATGGGATGGGATGGGACGGGACGGGACGGGACGGGACGGGACGGGACGGGACGGGATGGGATGGGATGGGATGGAATGGGATGGGATGGGATGGGATGGGATGGGATGGGATGGGATGGGATGGGGATGGGATGGGATGGGATGGAATGGGATGGGATGAGATGGGATGGGATGAGAGGGAAGGGATGGGATGAGAGGGGAGGGATGGGAAAGGATGGGAATGGATGGGATGGGAGAAGGGTCAGTGAGACAGTGGGGAATACGGAACAAACAGGACGGATCCACAGCCAGCAGCACGGATCCACAGCAAGCAGGCACATTCCAACCAAGCATCCCAAGGAGGTTCACTCACCTCGAACATACTCCCAAGCGCATCGCAACCCAACCAAGCATCACCAGCAACCCAACCAAGCATCACCAGCATCCCATGCATTTCAAAAGTCCCACGCAGCTTTGCTCACCTCGAACATACTGCCGCTGTACATGTCCCCGCGGTGAAAGCTGCTCTCCGGAGTCACATTCAAGCTGTTACTCCCACTCCCCCCTCCCCCGCCCGCACTGCCAAAGCTCCCCGCACTCCCGCCACTGTCGGCCCGGGACAAACTACGCCGCCCACTCCCAACGCTGCCGGCCGCCCCGGGCGGCAGCAAGTGCTGTTGCGAGGCGAGGGAGTCGTCGGAACCAGACCCTTTGCGGCGGCGGATGGACTCGAAGCGCAGCATGGAGGCGGACTTGTGCAGAATGGCCCTCAGCTCGGGGGATTCTAGAGGTGCCACGCGGGCGGATTGGAGGGGCTGGTGGGAGAGAGGATGGGGAACGGGGAGGTGAGGGGAGTAGGAGGATGCAGGGGAGGGGGAAGGGGAGAATTGTGGTGGTTACAGGGGGGCCAAATGGCCTCCTGCCAAAAGGGGCAGCAGGTGGTGGTGCTGCGAGGAGAGGGAATCGTCAGAACCGGAGCCCTTGCGGCGGCGGGCGAATGGACTCGAATCGCAGCATGGAAGCGGATTTGTGCAGAATGGCCCTCAGCTCGGGGGACTCGAGCGGTGCCAGGAGGGCGGTGTGAAGGGGCTGGGGGGGGGGAGGGGGAAAAGAGGGGAAGAGGGGGGTGAGAGAAGCATGGGTGAGGGGGAGGAGGGGTAAGGGATGGTTGACGACGGGGTTGTGAGGTTCTGGGGGCTGCCTGGCAATGGGGCAACAGGTGGTGCTGTGACGTGAGGCGAGGGAGTCTTTAGAGGCGGAGCCCATGCGGCAGCACCATGGACAGCATGGGCAGCATGGGAAGCATGGGCAGCATGGGAAGCATGGCACCATGGGCGGATGGAGCTGAAAATGTCAGAATGGACGCGGGCTCGCTCGCTTCGCCTGTCAGAGGCAGAATGGCCCTCAGCTCGCCTGGCGCCTCTCAGCATTCCATTTGCTCAAAATGCGAGCGGCATCAGGTGGGCAGAGTGAAGGGCGCTGATGGAATGAGGGGTGACGGGGGTGGGGTGGTTGGGGAAGGTGGGGCGGGGGGGTTGTGTTGTGGAGGTTGGAGATGCGGAGGGATGAGGGTTGTTGGGGTTGACCGTTGGGGTGGTTGTAACTTGAAGGGGGGTTAGGGGTTGTTCCGTTGGACGGACGGACTTCCACACTCCGTCCTTAAGTTGGTTCCACAGCACACATCCAATCTATTTCAATCTCCGACTGCCTCTGGCTCCCATTCTGTTTCCCTCACCCTCTCCCACTCTCCCTCACCCCCTCTCTCTCTCCCCACGCTCGCCCCTCTCCCCACGCTCGCCCCTCTCGGCATTGCCCTCGCCATCGCCCGCTGCCCATACCTGCTCCAGCCTATTAGCTGAATCTGCACCCCCTCCTGCTGGCCCAACTCCTGCCGCCCCTTCCCCGCGCATGTCAACGGTAAACGCGAACGCCTCGTGCGTGCTGTACGCCGCAACCGGCGCAACAGTCGCCGCGATTGGCGCCGTGAACGGGCTCCGACTGTCCCTGTCTGCGGATTCTGCATGGAAGGCCCAGTTCGATGCTGATGTGGAATGCGGAGAACGTGCCATCTGGACAGGGGGGACTGTCGTTCCCGATCCTGACACTGGTGCTAATCCAACGGTTCCCGATGCTTCAAACGCGGGTGGTGTAGGCAATCCTACGGCGGCAGAAGATGATCCTACGGCCCAGGAGGACCCGCCGCTGTGGTTGCTACTTGCGGATGCCGTTCCTCGGATGAAGCCGGGAGCAATCAACGGCTGGTGCTCCTCCTCGCGTTTCCATCTGTCACGACTTTCAGATGACACGTTACGAGTTGCAGATGATCCTTCACGAAGCGCGAAGGAACTCAGTTTAGGGTCGTAACGAACTTAAAATGATCTGCAATAAGCTGATATTGTGGAGGACTACAGAGTGATCTGTCACAACATCAAATTGAACCGTTGCGGAGTAGAGATCGCCTTTTACGATTAAGTTAATGGGTAGTTCAAGTTGAACAGCGGGTTGCACTAAGGAAAGTCAAACGCCGCCAACCCTAAAACGCTGAAGCGCTGTCGACCTTACAGAAGCGACAGCGCGCAGAGGCTAGTTCCTCCTGGCTGCCGCCTGCTTATCGTCCCAATTCCTTACTCGCCCGTTTTACACGCCGCAAGTCACGGTGATCGGCTGGTGTGCAGGTAAGAAAAACTCGTGCCACAAGATATTTGATGTTGCGTAGAGTACTGTACAACGGGATCCCTTCGCCCATCCCTCGCCCCTTGTTCACATGGTCGTGGCGAACAGGGCCTCTGGGTCGTGATTCCAGAGGTGGAGAGCAGCTCGCTTACAAACACGCGCGGTTACGTTCGGTTTGAAAACAATCTATACGTTGCAATGAGGTTCAACTGACAACAGGCAACGGGATGGGGGACGGGAGGGTTTCGTTTCGTTGGGTTCTTCCCTCCCTACAGGGATTTCTGACCTGATTGTCGTCACTACGGTTCGGGTCGGGAGTGCACCGAGACGCGGCGCGGAAGTCCAAGGGCTGTGTAGGTCTTCTTGAGAGTAACGAGTGCCGTGAGAGCGAACCAATCAGCAACCAAGGCCACGTAGGCTGACGGGTTCCAGCCAATACTTGGCGTCGGTAGTTACTTCACTGTACTGATATATATATATATATATATATATACATATATAACAAAAAAGCGGCTCTGTAACGCGCATAGTAATTATTACTGATACAATCTGAACCATCTTATAAGATCGTTTCAGGTTGATCGCACGAAGTGTAGCGGCGGAAGAGAACTCGATAATGTCGGGTACGGACTCTGTCAGAAGGAGATTTGACTCTCGACAGAAGTGATTTATATGATGCAGTACAAGGGTTTATATGAGAATGCAGTGGAATACGAAAGGCCGTAGCTAGCCATGTATTCTGAGGGGGTACATTTCCCTTAGGGCTAATCTAGATAAGGAAGCCCAACCGTGCGCTTCAGTAACTGCACGCGCCATGGTAACTGTTTGAAAGCTTTCCCGCGCTTTGCACTTCAAATGCTTTCTGCTTGCAACCGTCTTCCATAACTGTCTGTGTCGCTTGGCATTCGTCCTCGCTGCAATCATATTCGCGTTTAAGAGTTCGTTACTGTTGGAATGTTTTCCAACAATTTCATATTGTAACAGTTACAGTATGTTTTCACGCGTTTGGTAACTCATTTCACGCATTTGGTAACTCGTCACAGGCGAATGATAACGTGTGAGAAGAAACGAGGAATGAAATGACTAAGGGAAAGTTGGGTACAAATGCAAACCCTAGGAAAACTGTACCCCATATGTGCTACCCCACTATAGCCTACAGTAGCTATGTCATATAAATCTGACACACCCCCATAGGCAAAGTGGGGGAGAACAAGGGGTCACAAGACCAGTCAAGCAAAGCAAAACAAGCTCAGGGTGGATCACAAAGTCACCACACATTCCGAGCACAAGTTCAAGGCCACAAGGCCAGTTCACATGCAGGATTACATATATATATAAGGCTAGACAAGCAAGAGCAGGTGTATATATATATGCAACAGTACAAACAAGGTCAAGGGGTGAGCAAGTGAGGCAAGGTAGGCACAAGACCCAGCTGAGTACAGAAGCGCTGATGATCACAAGGCGCAAGTGCCTTGGTGAAGATATCAGCAGTGTTGGCCTCAGAGGCCACGTACGCAAGCCGCAGCTGACCACGCTGCTGTAGCTCACGAGCAAGGAAGTAGCGGAGAGCAATGTGCTTCGTTCTGTGCTCCAGTCTCTGCTCTCGACACAAGGCCAGCATGGCCTTGTTGTCTACGTACAGTACTGGAGGAGAACGAGGCGGCTCTCCGAGGTCAGTCAGCAGGTAGGTGAGCCAGCGAAGCTCCTGTGCAGCCATGGCCCCGGCGTAGATCTCAGCCTCACAACTGGAGCCGAGAACAGAAGACGAGCGGGTAGCCCGCCACGAAACAGAGCCGGAACCAAGGCTGAAGGTGTAACCCTGTGACGACCGCTGCGTAGCCTGGTCGTCAGCCCAAGAAGCGTCTGCGTGCCCAGTGAGGACCACTGGACTCTGCCCTCCAAGCACAAGCCCCATGCCCGACGTACTGCACAAGTAGCGCAACACCCTCTTCGCTGCAGCCATGTGCTCCGGTCTGTGTCTCCCAGAAGCAACATAGCGTGCAAGAATGCTAAGAGGGTATGCAAGGTCAGGTCGTGTGCAGGTCATCAGGTACATGAGGCAGCCAACAAGCTCTGGGTACGGGCCACTCGACTCTACGGACTCATCCGAAGGCAGAGCTGAGAGCGAGTGGCGAGTAGGCAGAGGAGTGGCCTGAGGCGAGGAGTACGTGAAGCCGAAGCGCTGAAGGACCTGCTGCACCATGTGTGACTGAGTCAGGGTAATGGTGCGGCGTGCTCTGTCCCGGGTGATCTGCAAGCCAAGGTAGCTATGCAGTTCACCCAGGTCTGTGCACGTGTGTCTCTTCTGCAGCTCGGACTTCACGTGGGCGAGTCCAGCAGTGTCAGCTGTGGCGAAGACCAAGTCGTCGACGTACACGAGGATGTAGAACGGCGGCAAAGAAGTGTCGGTGCGCAGAAACAGCGACGGGTCGGCAGTAGAGGGAGCAAACCCAAGAGCCGCAAGTGTAGTCCTCAGTGTGTCGTGCCACTCACGCGGTGCCTGGCGGAGACCGTAGACTGGCCGCCGGAGGCTCCACTGGGTGCCAGGAGGAAAGGACCCAGTGAAGCCAGGTGGGCGACGCAGCCAGATCTCCTCGTGCAGGCTGCCCTGCAAGAAAGCAGTGCTGAAGTCAAGAGAGTGCAGCTCGTAGTCGCGGTGAGCAGCTATGTGCAGCAGTATCCGAAGAGTGGTCATCTTCGGGGTGGGAGAGAAGGTCTGAAAGTAGTCAACTCCCTGCCGCTGACTGAAGCCACGAGCCACGTAACGCGCCTTGAAGACAGGCGGAGAACCCGGCGGCCGCTTCACCCTGAAAATCCACATGCCACTGACGATGTTCGCCCCAGGCGGGGGAACCTCGTCAACGTAGGTGCCTGTGGACTTCCAGGAAGCCATCTCTGCGTCCATAGCTGCCTGCCACTGAGAGGAGTAGGGACCCTCTATCGCCTCCGCGTAAGAGCGCGGAGTCGGGATGTCAAGTGCATCCGGGTCTCCCTCAGGGGTAAGCAGTACGGACACGAGATGAGGTGAAGCAGCAGCCAAACACCGGAACTCCTCCTGCCTGTCCTCAAGGACGTCCGTGCCAAGGGCACACTCACCCCCGACGGACGGAGGACAGACAGACTCAGACTCAGCAACAAGACTAGCAGCGTAGTCTAGACGACAGCGAACAGCAAAGTCGACGAGCTCAGTAACTAGGGCAGACGCAGCAGTGGACTCAAAGGAAGGGTCAGTGACAACAGTAGCAAGGAGACGCGTGACAGTAGGACTGGCAGCACGAAGAGAGTCCGACTCCGGGTCAGGAAGAGCAGGAAGAGAGGACTCAGGAGGAGAAGGCAAAGGGGCACGCAGAGGAGCAGTGGACGGACGCAGAGACATCCGGTGCGTGCCAGGGACAGGAGGAGGACGCTGGCGCGAACCACGACCACTAGTGCGAGCAGCACGGACAGGCGACGCAGGGCGAGACGCAGGCTCACGACGCTCAGCAAGACCTCCAGTAGGACCAGTGTAGGGAGAAGGAGCGGGCAGTGGGGAGGCCGGCTGTAACTGTAACTGTGACGGGACAGGCTGTGGACACTCTAAGGGAGGAGGAGGACCAGTAGAAGGCGGGAGACCAAGAACCTGCTGAAGGAGCAGAACGAAGTACGGCCTAGGCCGCGCGGCGACTCCAGACACAGCAGGGACAGCACCAGTACCCCCAGCGGCAGCACCAGCGCCAGCAGCACCTCCAGCTCCAGTACCTCCAGCAGCACCAGTAGCACCCCCAGCAGGACCGCCTCCAGGACCGACAGCAGTAGCCTCAGCGCCAACACCCTCAGCAGCTCCAGCTCCAGTCGTACCCGCAGGCCCAGCAGCTCCAGTACTCCCAGTACGAGCACCTCCGAGACCCGCGGCACCAGCACCCTCAGCAGCCGACGAACCTCCAGCTCCAGCAGCACGCCTCCAGCGCCGGGCAAACCACTCGCGCAGCTCCTGTGGAGAGAGTGGCTCCCGCCGAGACGAAGCACCCGGAGAACCTCCAGGCTCAGCACCGCCAGACGCCACACGAGCAGGCCCAGCTCCCTCAGGCTCCGCACCCCCAAGCTCAGCACCTCCAGGCGTGGCACCCCCAGGCTCAGCACCCCCAGGCGTAGCACCCCCAGGCTCAGCACCCCCAGGCTCAGTACCCCCAGTAGTAGCACCCCCAGGCTCAGCACCCCCAGGCTCAGGACCCCCAGTAGTAGCACCCTCAGGCTCAGCACCCCCAGGCGTAGCACCCACACGCTCAGCACCCCCAGAGTCAGCACCCCCTGGCTCAGCACCCTCAGCAGCACCAGAGTCACTAGTAACCTCGACAGGCTCGACTGCGTCTACCTGGGACACACCTGAAGGGGCAGGACCCTGAGGGGGGAGGGGGTC